GAGGCTGAGGCAGGTGGATCACAAGGTCAAAAGATTGAGACCATCCTGGCCAACTTGGTGAAACCCCATCTCTACTAAAAATAAAAAAATTAGCTGGGAGTGGTGGCGTACGCCTGTAGTCCCAGCTACTCAGGAGGCTGAGGCAGGAGATTTGTTTGAACCAGGGAGGCGGAGACTGCAGTGAGCTGAGATCGTGCCACTGCACTTAAGCCTGGCGCCTGGTGACAGAGCAAGACTCTGTCTAAAAAAAAAAAAAATTTCAAATCATGGCTGAGTTTAATAGCTTACACTTCCACTAATTCCTTCTTTCAGACTTTACTCAATGCCCGCTTTTCTTCCAGGCACTGTGCTAGGCCCAGGGAATTAAGAATCAGAGCCAGACACAGTCCTGGGTCTCAGAAAGTTCACAATGTAAAGAAAAATTACTCAACTGTAATGCAATATGCAAAGAGCCAAGAACAGAAGAGTATGCAGAGTTGTGGGAACACCCAGGAGAAAGCTGCTGAGCCTGCCGGAGAAGATGGAGTAGCTGATATGGGACGCGGCAAGCAGAGCCCTGATGAATGGGCAGGACATCACCAGGCTGAGGACGAGAACACAATCCGGGCAGGAGAAGCACAGGCGAAGAACTGTACAGGGCCTGGTCTGGGGTCAGGGACTGATGTGGTGATGGCAATGCATGGAGAAGCAGCTGTAGGGAGGTGGGAGTTCACAGAAAAGGGCCTCAGTCTAAGACTTTATGGTGTGGCTCTATGAGCAGAAGACTGGCAAGATCAGAATTCCGCTTTATGAGAATCTGCCGCTGGCAGTTATGATGCAGAAAGGGATGTATAGGAACCCGTCCAGAGGCAGGGAAACCACTTAGGTGGCTGTGGTTCTATCGGAAAGAGAAGATGTCAGCCTCCATGAAGGAAGTCACCAAGTCAGGGAAGAGTGGATTTGGCGGAAACTGATGGTAATGAAATCACAGGACTTGGTAACCAAGTAGATCATTCTTGAAATCAGTGGGAGGGACGGAGACACACACATAAGCGTATACATGTATGTATCATGGTTGAGGGAGTATATGTGTATATGTATGTGTGTGGTGCACACACGCGTGTGTACTCATATGTACATATACACATACACATTTGTATGTATAAATCCGCACAGAATTTGTTTTTAAACACTCTGGAAGGGCACATTTGATTTTCCAGGTGAGAATTCCATTCTCCAAGTTTATTTGTCACAATTTCATTCAGAAACAAAGGGTACACTGGACTCACTTGACTGGGGGCTCCTTGGACCGCAGGCTCTGGCCTGGGAATTCAGCAGTACTGGTCAGCATCTCCAGCCTTCTTCCAGAGCCCAGAATCGCTGGAGAGGAAGGAGGAAGGGAAGAGGAAGAGAGGAAGGACACGGAAATCACAGACGTAGACACCAAGACAGAGGGGAAGTCAGATATTTACGTGAGGCATTACTTTAAAGGCCTAGATCCAGCGACACAGGCCAGAAACCGGCACTGAGATTGCATGAAGAGTGGCCTTTAAAGGAACAATCTCAGATCAGATCAGTGAAACAAAGGGACCAGCTCCAAGTGGGTAACAGAGCAACAGGTGATACTCTACAGCTTTCTTGGCATCTAACACCTGCAGACGCCTTCAGGACCTGGCGCAGATGCTGCAAGAGACCCCAGAGAATCACAGATACCTGGATACTCACTCTCACTGTAAAAACATGCTACTTCCCCATCCACTGAGATTTTACATTAGTGCTCATCTAAAACAAACCCCTTCAGCCTGTTACCACAAAATTTCAGTTAGGCAATCCCTCAGCCAGCTTCCCACCCAGCAGAAAACCAACAGAAACTGTCTGCTCTGCTTCAGGGTTCTGTTTTCCCAGGCACGGGTCCCCAGCTCTCCTTGTGTGTGACCTTCTGCCCTGCTAAGACCACCAGTCCTGGCTGGCTCCCAATATCCTGGAGCCTCACAGGAATTATGGTCGTGGCTCCCTGGTGACAGTCAGTCTCTAGGACACCCTAACCCATCCCGTTTCTGGCACTATTCCTTTCCTCCATCTCCACGCTGACATCCCATCCTATCCTGGCTATCTGTGGATGCCAACGTCCTCAGTCTTCAGGTCAGTGTAAACACTGATAAATTCCTGGAACCCTCATCTTATTAGGTCCCCACTGACCCAAGTACCTGCTTCTTTAATTCTTCAAGAACTCAATGACAGGGAAGCAGAAGCTGGCCTCAGAGCATGCAGGAAAGCTTTTCGTCCTTCCTAGACCACCAGTAAAATAGATCTTGGCCTTTGACCTCTGTCAGAAACCTTCAGCTGTGACCAGGATCTGCCCAGATTCTCAGAAAACCTGGAAGCCCCTCAAGCTTAGCTTTTCTGAAGTCAAATCCTCCCAGCCCATGTCCTCTCCTAGGAGCCTGGCTTTCCTGAACTTAGGTCTAAAACAAGTCCTTTGGGGCTGAATCTCTGGCCTGGGCACTGTTCACGATAGAAGCTGTTCTTTCACCTCGTATTTACTTTTCTGCCAGAAACCACGGCCTCTAGCCCACCACTGTGCTGCAGGAAGTCTGGGGAGAAGCGAGATAGCAGCTGCTGCATAAAAACCCACGCCAGGCCAGGTGCGGTAGCTCATGCCTATAATCCCAGCACTTTGGGAGGCCAAGGCGGGTGAATCACGAGGTCACGAGATCAAGACCATCCTGGTCAACATGGTGAAACCCCATCTCTACTAAAAATACTAAAATTAGCTGGGCATGGTGGCACACGCCTATAGTCCCAGCTACCTGGGAGGCTGAGGCAGGAGAATTGCTTGAACCTAGGAGGCAGAGGTTGCAGTGAGCCAAGATTGCGCCATTGCACTCCAACTTGGGTAACAAGAGCGAAACTCCATCTCAAAAAAACCCCACACCAAGCAAGATAAAAAGGGCTGGAAAGAAGAATGAAAGTTCCACTCCATACATTTCACCTGCTCTCTTCATCTAGGAGGCCAAACTCCTACATTCTGAAGTTAAGGTAAAGCTCTCCCAGTGAAGCCTTCCTGACTCCTGGAAGAACTCATGGGTGCCTCCTCAAAACCCCTGGCCCCCCAGTTACAGCTCTGACCACAATGCCCTATGGCTAACTGGTTTATAGGGCTGTGCTCCCTGCAGGGCGTCCAGCACCAGGCACAGTGCGTAGACTGGGTGAACACTGGCAAAAAAGCAAGTAGGCACAGATGGTTCAAGGCAGCACAGTCAGAGAAGTGGAAGGAAATGGTTCTTTTGAGGCTGAGCAGGAGCAAAGAAGAGGTTCTAACATATAAGAAAAGGGAAGTATAAATCACCCTTTCCTGCAACAAAAGCAAGCTACTGCTCAGGCTCCAGGAAAGAATGTCTCTATTCACCTAATTCATTAAGGCTCTTCCTACCCATTTGTTTTCTACTGGTTAAGGGGGAAGTCCTTCAGCTCAGCTTTTGGAGACTTACAAAATCTTCTGAATAGAGGCTGTTTCATCAGTGGCCAACAGAACTCTCATGAGTGTTGGTTGCAAAACACACAACACACCCTTGGCTGGACGTTCTAACAGCAGTCATGTACCAAGCGCAAAGCTCAAACCCAGTTTTAGACAATGGAACTTTCTATGCATGGCCACTAGTTACCTGCGACTACTAAGTAACTGAAGTAAGGCTGTGGTGCAGATGAGGGAGTGCATTTTCATTTAATTTTAATTATATTTAAATAGCCAAATTTAGAGAGTGGCTACTATGATGAACAGGGCAGCCCTAGCCTCCAACTGCTGAGGGAAGATGGAAGACTGGGCAAATGAATCCACAGGCATTCATGAGTGTGCCCAGAGCCACAGAGGAAGAGAGCCACCTTGAAGGGAAGCCCAGAAGGTCATCTGGCCTCCTTGAAATTACAAGGCCCTCTGGCTTTGGTTCCGGTACACGTGCAGTGATGGATGGTTCCTCCTGTCTTACAGGTTTACCTGGGCCCTGAGTCATGTGACAAGCGTTTGGTGAGCTCCTTCCTGTGCCACACCTAATACAGCGAGCACTGAGGATACAAAAGTAAATCATTCAGAGTCCTAGCCCCCCGGAAGCCCAGCTTGCACATGAAAGGCAAACAGGAGCTGAAATAGCAGGAGGGAAGATGGATGAAGGAGGCTGAGATCAGAGAATAATTAATTTTGACAGCCATGAGCAGCAGACACGACTTTCCCCCAAAAATGTCATGGTATGTCTTCCATAGTGCAGAGCTGTTGCTAAAGCTGTACTCGCCAGCCTTCCTGTCATCCAGGTTTGCCACATGACTAAGTTCTCACCCACAGGACATGAGCAGGTGATACGTCTTCCCACTGTGCCTGGGCTTTTAAGAAGCAGACGGGCATTTCTCATTCTTTCCTCCTTTGGCAGCTACAGGCAGATGACTCTGAAGCCCCAGGGGAAGACAGAATACTCTCTAAGGCAGGTGCTGTGCCACTTTCTGACAAGAAAGAATGAGCCTGGATGCCTGAGTCACACCATGGAGGAAAGCTCCCCACCAACCTTTTCCAGATTATTATGCATGAGAATAAGCATCTATTGTGTTAGGCCATTGATGTTTTGAGTTTATTTTGTTATGGCACCTTGTGTTACCTTAACTAATACACCACGCAGAGTAAGACTTTGCTCTTACTTTGCCCTATGTGTCACATCACGTGTCTCCACATATATTATGATACAGATAATATAAGTGGAGACTCATGATGCAGGTACTTCAAAAGTGGTACTGTGCAAAAGACAGAGTAGGAATGAAAGAGTAGAGACAGGAATATCCGAGGACAGTACCGCAGGGATCTGGTTAGAGAATGGGAAGGAAGATCAAAAGAAGAGCGTAGCGTCCTTTAGGACTAAGTGTGAAGAAAAGAGGCAAAACCAACCCTGATGATGACTCCGACCACCAGTCTAGACAGAGGCCAATGAGGAGGAACGCCCAGGGGGTTTAGCAGCCCCACACTGCTCATGTTCACTCACCTGGGTGAGAGCTGTGACCCTGTTCCCCATGTCTGGGAGAATGGGGGGCTCATCACCTACTTGAAAGTCAAAGTAGATGGTCTTGTGAGAGAAGGTGGAAAACTCATTACTGAAGCAAAACTGATAAACACCCTTGACCTCAGCCCGGTGCGTGAAGCTGTCGTACTGCTTCTTGGTTTCTCTGTAGATGGTGTTCCCCTGGGGGTCCTCCACAAAGCAGTCAACATCGTAGTGGCCTCCAGTGATGACCTGACAACCATAAAAAGCTTACTGTTATCAAAGGGGCAACCACCACCTACCAAATGCCAACCAGACCCTGTGATCAGACTAAACATTTCTGTCGTTTAATCTTCAAACGTTTCCAAGGCAGGGGCTATGCCACTTCCCATTTTACTGAGGCTGACCAAGGTTAAATAAATTGGCTATGGTCACACCACTTGAAAGTGGAAGGGCTAAGATCTGAATCTATGCCTGCCTGACTCCAAAGTTTGCCCTGCGGGAGTTCAAAGAGCCTAATCCTTTCCATTTTACAGAAGAAGAAACCAAGCTTCAAGGATAAGTAAATTGCCTAAGGTTACACAACAGAAAGTGGTAGGGCTGGGGTCTGTCCTAACGGCTTTTGGTTCCAGTGCTCAAATATTTACCTATTGCATTATTCTGACGCATGAACAAACATACCCCAGGATAACTGGTCTTCATAAGATGGTGCTGATAAGGCTTCCAGAAATGCAGAGCAAGATGAGGAGGGATGCCCAAGAAACTATTCCAATGCAACCAGATACCACTGATTCTTTATCTTTAATACTTAACACAAGACCAGCAAATCACTGCTTTAGGGCACTGCCACTCATTAGCCATGTGACCCTACACAAGTTACTTTACTCTCTGAGGACATGTCTTTATCCATGAAGTGAGGATTCCCTAAGTTATCACACCTAAGTGCTTAGCACAATGTCCAACATGGAGCAAGTGCCCCTAGACTGCCAGCCAATTACTGGACAATTGCCAGACTGCAACCAGCCCCCTAGGGGTGACAGTGGAGATGGGGAATTTGATTTGGGGCCACTCTAGAGCACGCATGCTGTACTTCCTGCTTATCCCTTCCAATAACAGATAAGTGCATCCCCCTACCCCCAACAAGGTTTATTCCTGGCTTGCTGAATGCATCTAGTAGCCATTTACAATGTATTATTACAAATTGAATCAAGGAGAATAAAAATATTGATGGACACATTCATGGACTTTCTAAGTGTCAGAGGTAGAGGAGTCCCTGGTAATCATTTAGTTCAAACTCTCCTTCTAACATAAGAAAAAATAAGACCCACATGCAGCAAAATCTGACAAGTAGGGAGTGGCTATAACCAAGATCCATCAAAGGACACAGTCAATGGGCTCCATCTGCTTCTAAACTTAAATGTCTTCTTTGTCCAGATAAAAGTTACTGATCCTGCCCAGCAAGCTTTGCATAAAGCAGTGAGCATCCTGCTGCTGGGTGTGTTTAAACCCAGGCTGGACACACTTCGACAAGGGATTTCACCCTGGCAGTGACCAGATGACCTCTGAGGTCCCCGCAGCCACACAATGATCATTCCTTTTGTCATTGCACCTAGGTTGCCCACATTAACCCATTCACAACTTGCCTGTTGTCCACACAGACGTGAAAGTGGATAAATCAATGACTGAGACTACATGTAAGCTGTCTCCAAGCACAAGCTTCCTTCAGCACCTCTAACCAGAGGCACTGGTCAAATAGCTTGCCCTCGTTCCCGATGCCCGCGCCACCTCACTTCTTAAGTCCCTGTCAGCATGCGTCCACAAGCAGACAACTGTGTGAGTACGATGCTCACTTGGCCCCCAATCCTAGGCCTGCTCACTAAACCTCGGGGCAGACCCCTCACTCAAGACGTGCTCCTATCACCTGTGGGCCACGGGATCTCTCAAAGGAGACGGAAGTACAGGAACTGCGCTTTTCTGAGCCATATGGCAAGAGCCAAGTCTTGCAAGCACACCAGTCCTTGTAAACACCGTCAGGCCTCGATGGCTGCGCTGGGCCCTCCTTTCTTAAGCACCCATTGTCGCCTCTGCTGCCCTCACCTCACTCCAACTTTAAACGCTGGAGAAGGGAGAAAGAAAATAAAACTCTGAACCCACTTCCTCTCGCTGCCATTTCTCAGTACTGGAAAGCATAAGGCGGTGTGAGAGACCTGGGTAGAGGGCCAGTGTCCAGCCGATCAGAACTGGCGTTCGTTAGTGTCTCGGGGCCTGCGGAGGTCTCTCTGGCCAGCTTCCCAGGCTGCGGGACTCGCCCTGGCATCCCATCCCCTGCTCGCACCTGCGGCGCTGACTACCTCCCGCCGTCCTGGCCTGTCTCGGGTAGGCCCTGATGACCCAAACCCTCCTCCTCACGAGGAAGTAAACTGGTCTCCAAGGATCCCCACCCCCTGCAGCCTCCCTGCAGCCTCTGTGGCTAATTCGAGCGCCAGTGTCCAGGTGAGACCCGGGAGTGGCGGGAGAACGGACCGCTGCCAGGTGCCCGGCCTCACCTGGTAATCCAGGGAGAACTTCACGCCCTGCTCCACCTCCTCGTGGAAGCACTGCTTGGCGTTGTCCGGCAGTTCGAAGGTGAGCTCGGCTCCGAGGGGCTGCTCCGCCCGGAGCAGGAGCAGGAGCAGGAGCAGCAGCAGGAGCAGCGCGGAGGCAGAGCGCGGGGCCGCGCAGCCCATGATGCTCTCGGTCCCGTCCCGAGGGCCGCGCTCGGGCGCTGGGCCCCTCGCGGGCTGAGGCGGCGGCTGCCAGGCCCAGAGAGGACCTGCCGGGAGAGACGTGGCGCTAACCCGGCGCTGAGCTTCCGGGATGGCAGGCGGCACAGTGCGCAGCCGCGCGCTCAGAGTGAGCCGCGGCCCTGTATGCCTGCTGCGCATGCGCGCTGGCCGCCCTGAGCCAGGGGTCACGCCCCCTCCCCGCCTCGCGCGGCTCGGGCGGTGGGTCTCCGCGCAGGGGAGGCGGGCCTCCACCCAGCGCGCCCCTACCCAGAAGAGGGAGGAGCCCTCCACTGTTCTGCGCGCTCCCGGACTTGCAGCGCTGAGCATCCCTCCAGGTCCGCCCAGGTCCACCCTCCAGCTGCTGCAGCACGAAGCACCTGGGGTTTTACTCCCTCCATAAGGACGCTGCTTTTGACAGCCCTGTAACTTCAGTCTCACACTTCCCTTGAGAACCAGTCTCCTTGTCTAGAAATGGGTGTGCCCAAACCTAGCATCCACAGTAGGTAGGGAGCTAGGTGAAAGATAACGGAACGCTGGGAACCCCATTAACACTCCCTTCTTCATTCGCGTTCCCTTCCCAAGGTGAAACAGTGTGTGTGGTGGGGGGGGGGGGAGGCGGGAGGAGAGGGGATGTAAGTAAAGACCCATTATTACACCTGCTCTGGGAAAAACAGGGGCGTGCTCGCACACAAACGATCTTATGAAAATCCAAGTGAAGTCTCGCAGCGACTTCAGGTATATTTTGGCTATCAGGACTCCTTGAAAAATTTTCTTGCACAAAACTGTCATTTTTGCACTCTGACTCCTTAAAAGTGCGGAAAGCAGATACCTTGGTTTACTGTCTTACCCATGACCACGGATCTAAGAAGATTCCTTTGTATAATTGTAACTATTGGTATGGTTTTATATTCACTGTGATCTAATAAAGAGAAAAGATAAATTATCATATTGATACTCAATAAATAATTTATTCAGGAGAGCATTACTAGACGTGGTATATCTTGATTTCAGGAAAGAATGTTACTGCCCATAGAGATCTCTGCTGGGCACATTTCACCATGGATGAACATGCTAATAATGTGTGAAAGCAACCTGTAGGCTTGGAAATAACATGTATGCATAACATAGGTATTAATAATATTGACTAGCTCAGTGACTGGCATGAAAGAGGTGTTTAGTAGCGTCCCTTAAGGTTCCTTCCCTAGCACTGTCCTATTTCACATTGTTTTCTAGGAACTGACAGAAAATATGGCAGTCATAATCATCTGATCTAGATGCACTACCTGGAGAAACAAATGACAGATATAAGACCATGATTGCCTTGGCACGGCTGGAGCGCTCGGCTAAGACAAACAAAAAGAAATTTCGGGCTCGGCACCATGGCTAACACCTGTATCCTAGCATTCTGGGAGGCGGATGCAAGAGGATTGCTTGAAGCCAGGAGTTCCAGTCCAGCCTGGCAACGCAGTGAGACCTCGTTTGTAAAAGAAAGAAAGAGAGAGAGAGAGAAGAAAGGAAGGAGGGAAGGAAGGAAGGAGAAAAGAAAGAGGAAGGAAGGAAGGAAAACAAAGGAGGGAGGGAGGGAGGGAGGTAAGGAAAGAAAGAAAAGAAAGAAAGGAAAGGAAAGAAAAAAAAAATTAACCAGACATGGTGGTGTGAGTCTGTAGTCCCAGCTACTTGGGATGCTGAGGTGGGAGGATTTCTTGACACCAGGAGTTTGAAGCTATGTGAACTGTGATGTCACTACTGCACTCCAACATGGGTAACAAAGGGAGACCCCCATCTCCAAAAATCAAAATAACTTTCTCTGGATTAAATGTTAAGTCCTACATTTAAGTTCCAAGAAAACACCTGTATAACTTGAGGGGAGGAGCAGACTTTGTAGTAGCTCAAGTCAGAGCAAGCAGAGTTATACATGCAGGCTATTGGCTGGGACACCTCGGGTCTCCTCCAAGCATCCTCTCACATCTAATAGGCTAGATTACTTCCTTATATGGCAGGCTCAGGGCGACATCCCAAGAGGAACCACGCACAAGCAGCAAGGCCTCCTGAGACCTAAGCTTCAGACCTTTTCCAGTATGACTTTCTCCACATTCTGTTGCAAAGCAAGTTGAAAGGCCAGCCTAGATTCAAGGAGGTGGGAAAATGGAATCTACCTCTGGATTCTAGGAGTTGCAAAGTCACATTGCAAAAGAGGAGCATACCGGGATGGAGGGAATTATGGCTGTTAAGCCTCTTCCCTAGCACCCAGACTCACTCAGCTTGTCAGTGGCTAAACCAGGAAGTGAACCCGAATCTGCTTAATTCTGAAGACTACCAGCTTCCCACTAATCACACTGCCTCTACCCATACCTCAGGGAACGCTTGTCCTACGCCTTCCATATAGCAAACCTTGGACCAAAGCATGAATCTGACACTGAGGCACATTTCAGCTCACACAGCAAATGACTTTCTGGAACTAGAGATTTCCAAAAATAGAATGGCCAAGGATAGTGCATGTTTCATCCCTGAAAATATTCAAACAGATGCAGGTGAACAACCAACCCTTTAGCAACAATAGAGGTGACTCATGAACCTGGGTGGCAGATTATAATGGTGTATGACCTCTAAGGTTCCTTCCAACTTTTATATTGCATGATATATGGTACTAAAGGTAGGATAACTTGAAAGAAAAACCAAAAATGTTTCCTATCCACGTTAGTCCTGGGTGACTTCTGTGAAGGCCTTTTAAAACAGTAAATAAAAGAAACACAAAAAATAAAATACAAATAATAACAAATTAAAGCAGTAAATAAAAATGAGAATTTTAACAGATGCAAAAAAGTGACAAATTCAACATCCATTCGTGCTAATAAAAACTTTAGCAAAACAGAAATAATAGACAATGTTCTTAATGTCATAAAATATGACAAATTTAGACATCATGATTAATGATAAACATTGAAGTCTTTTTCTTCAAACTTGCGAGTAAGACATAAATGCCTGCTATCACAGCTGCTATTTAACATTGTCCCAGCAATTCTAGTGGGAAAGGTTAGGCAAGAAAAATAAATAAAAGGACAGTAATTGGGTATATAAACGCCTGATGAGTGCTTATGTCTAAGGAGAAGGAGAATGCAGAAGTGGCACCCAAGGGAGGCTCACGAACGTTCACATTCTGACTTTCATTAACTGAACATTTATGTTTTACTTCTCTATGTACAGATGCTCCTTGGCTTACGGTGGGGTTACATCTGAATAAACCCATCGTGAATTGAAAACATCCCAAGTAATATGTGTTATCATGAGATGTGCAGTATAAGGTGGACCAATCTGTGCCCTAAAGCAGAATTTTATCATTGCTTCATGCAACAGGAGCATTCCCTAGCATGCTATTAGGATGTTGAAACCTAAGTTTATCCATGCCTCATGCAGGTAATTGGTGGTGAAGAAAAAAGCAACACAGTCACTGTGTGGATTGATTAAAGCAAATGGAAACTTTGCAAACCGCTTAACGTTGCCATGGAGCTATAACCAATGCCAGCTTTTCCCTGAACAAACCAATCAGAGAAAGGTGACACACACTGCCCGCCTGAGACTCACCAACTTATCCAGAATAACTGTTTTGTGGCTGTCAAGCATTTAACTATCCCTTCTATGGGGAAATCCCAAACTAGGTTGGAGACTAACCTGCCTTTCATCACAGAGCCAAAGAGGGACAGATAGTCCCTCTCCCTCTGCTCCTGGGTCCCAAGGTTTGTGGGCATGGGACCCAGGCTCTGCCAACCAGATCCCCTTGTATCTGAATCATGAGGGGGTGTCTAGAGAGGTAGAATCAGAGAACACAGTGGTGGTTACCAGAGGATAGGGAGTGGTGGGTTGGAAAAATGGCCAATAATTACAAAATTTCAGTTATGTAAGAGGAATAAATTCAAGAGAATTATTGTACAACATGGTGTCTATGGTTAATAACAACACATCTACACTTGAAAATCACTGAGTATCTTTTAAGTGTTCTTGCCACAAAAAATGATATATGCAGTAATGTGTGTGTTAATTAGCTCAATGTAGCCATTTCACAATGTATGCATATTTTAAAACATTATGTTGTACACTTCAAATATAAATAATTTTATGTGAATTAAACAAACAAATTTAAATTTGAAAAAGAAAAAAACACTTCAATCTTTAAGTTTTGGACAGGAAAATATTGTGACTAAATGGCTACAGAATGATCTTTAAAAATTGAAAAGCTTTTTGCAATTCACACATTATGTTGGATTCATGGAAATGACTCATATTCTCCCTTGAGTGTGAGGTAAAGAAACACTAATATCTTAAATATAAGAAGAGAAAAATCCATGTGCCCACTCACCATGCCTGAGTTATATTTTCCTTGTGCTAAAAATTCAAAATTCTTCTTACCCCATTGGGTCTTTGTTTCTATAGAAATAAATATAATTTCTTCTGCTCTTAAAAAGAGAAAAAGTAAAAAGAAACATCATGTAACTTTTTGTCTTAACTACAACATGGTGGAGTGGAAAGAGAATGAAATTCAAGACCTGCTCATTAATGTTGTGGCATTAATGTTTTGACATTCTGTTCCTGTCTGGGAGTCCACGTCTGAAACTCTAAAATAAAGGCTGAGACTGGGGATTGGGTGAGTTGATACCGAAGGTTTTCTTCTTCCAATTATCAAGACTTTTGATAATTTCAAACAGCAAGCTTGAACTTCTTTTCTTCAATTTAAAAGAAAACCACAAAGAAAAGAAGAAAAATGAAGGAAAGGACAAAGGTAGGGAGAGAGAATGGAAAGAAGGAAGAGAAGGAAAGGAACAGTAATCTCACGTGGTCCATGTATGAGTGAGGGTAAGATAGGCTATGCTACAGTAAAAATCAACCTCCAGATTCCACGGCTCAGCAAAAGTTTATTTCTTGGCCATTCTATGTTTTTCACAGGTTCAGAAGCAGAGATCTCTTCCATGTATTCATTCAGGGACCCTTGCTGACAGAGATCCCCATAATCTTGAAATTTTTTCACCTCAAACACATATCTCAGTCACAGCAGCAGGGAAAGAGAGTGTGAGAAGATCGCAGGCCAGCAATAATGCATCAGCTCAGAAGAGACACACGTGTTACTTTCACCCACAGCCCA